CTCGCTAATCCCAGGCCACCCTGCCCAGTGCAAGGGGGATGGGGGCAGGGGTGTTTACTCATCACTGTTTCCTGGACTCAAACAGAACCACAGTGAGACGTCTGCCATGCCCGGATCAAGGCTCCCCCTCCCGCCCTCCAGCTGGTTGGTGCAATAAAGGCTTTTCACAGGCACTGGGTTTTCTGATCACATCACACTCGGCTCAGTGAATGTTGTCTTGTTATGGCAGAAAATGCCATCTTTCCACCAGAACATCATGGAAACATGGCCGTGACCCGTGTTGCATAGCAGCGACTCATGATGTCCTGTGTGTGCTTTATGGGAACTGTTTGCCCACGTGTTTCTAGTCACTGAGACTGTGTGTTAGATGAGTTCTCCCGTTTCCCCCTGCCTCGGGGCCCTTGTGAGGGCACACAAGCTCCCAGGCTCTGTGTCCTGATGACCCGGGTCCCAGGGCCAAGAGTGCGTCTGCAGTAGGGGAGCCCCCGGGTCAGGGCTGAGTTGAGGTTTTTAAGTCAAGAGGGTCAACGAGCTCCTTATATTCATCACCATCTGACCATCTGCAGAAGTGACCTTTATACACACCTGTGTGTGGTACAGACAGACGGACTTACGTATATGTAGTCTACACACCTGTGTGAGGCTTCCCAGGCAGCTCAGAGGTAAGGAATCTGCCTGCAGTGCAGGAGACTTAAGAGACCTGGGATCAATCCCTGGTCGGGAAGATCCCCTGGACAAGGAGATGACAGCCCACCCCAGTATTCTTGCCTGGAGAATCCCATGGATGAAGGAGCCTGGCGGGCTACAGTCCTTGGGGTCACAAAGAGTCGGACACAACTTAGTGTCTAATGAACACCACCACCCACAGAATACACCCAGAGCACACACACGTGTTGTGTGTGTGTGTCTCACTAAGGAGTGAAATGTCCTTGTGAAAGGCACGATCCCTTGACAACTCCAAGGAGCCCTCTGGGAACACCCGGGCGGTGGTCCCTCTGCTCCACAGAGAGGCAGAGAGGTGCTGCTTCGCTTAAAGTGAAATCCATCCTTTGCACACCTTCCCCAACACGTGCCTGGGACATGAAATCACTTCAGGAACTGTAATTCGTGCACACTTGTGTCTGGAGGAGAAACCCCACCGCAGTGTTGCTGGTGTGCAGGGACGGCCTCTGACCGTCACCGTGAGCTGCCGGAACCCGGGACGCATCTGTCCGCAGTCCTGTCTGTGTCTGCGGTCAGCCTGCTGGCTCTCAGATCCTGGCCGTGTCTTCTCACAGCCTGCCTCTGTCTGCTGTCAGCGGCCGGCTCTCAGCCTTGCCCTGAGCGCTGCTTTCAGACATGCTCTGGGGCGTGGAGCCCACGTGGCCACTGGGCTGTGCCTCCCACCTGCTGCTGGTGGGCTGGGCCTTTGTGGCTGAGTGCCGAAGAATAAACCTACACGGAATCTGATCTGATGCTTTCTTGAATATGTCTTATCCTTATAGTCCTGGGCTACCTTGAGCTTCTTGCCAGAACCTCAGTTATAACTTTGTGAATAGATCGCAACATGTGCCTGAAAGAATTGTGCAGGGCGCCTTTAGTTTCTGTGGAATTCTGGTTGCTTATGCTTTGTGACTTCCAAAAATGTTCTTAATGATCGTCAGGATCAGACGCAGGTATCGTCACTCGGCGTTGCTCAACCCTCCATGTATACACAGCGTGTCTTAGGAAAGAGAGCGACAGGTTGTGGGCTGATCTTGGCCGTGGACTCTCTGCCTTTTAGTAAATTCTTTTTGAGATTCTACATGAATAAACATGCCTGCAGAAGGATAAAGCCTGGTTTCAAAATCTATATGAAGTCTTACTGAATTTTGAGTGTTGACAAGTCCTGTGAACAAGGAACACAGACTTTTCAGTCTTCACTTTGAAAAGGAAGCACTTAAAGAGTCTAACACCCTTGGATTCATGCCAAGGGTCTGGTGCAGCGGATCCAATGAGCCTCAACTGTTGTGTCTATGGCACAGGGAAGGACAGCCTGTACCCCAGACAGTGCAGCTTGCAGGGCGCAGGGCTGGGGCTCCCCGGGGCCCTGCTCAGAGCCTGCTTCCTGTTGCCTCCAGGACACAGGGGGCCATTTCACCCCCACCAGAGTTCATTCTCTGTGTGCAGAACGAGCAAGACAGGACAGCTGGGGTGAGGACGGGGTGAGGGAAGTGTGTAAAACCTGGCATCGTGCTGACACAGGGCACGTGCGCTGGACCGCCCGTCCCCTCTGTGTGCACAGTCTCCACAGGGCTGAGAAGGAAGGTGGCCCCGGGGTCCACGGCAACTGTAAGGACAGGGAGGTTCAGATGACGCGGACTCGTAGGTGTCTGCAGAAAGGTATGGATTTATCTCTATAAATAGATTTCAGTATATGTGTGTAAAAGACATGTTAGAAAGCCACACGTCTCCCCTCGCATTTAGGATGAGGGAGCTCAAGAGGTTGCCAGCCATGCCCTCCGAGAACTGGAGCTTCAGTCGGGAACTTTAAATTGTACGTTTCACGGATGAGAGGTGTGGTTCAAAACAGATACCATATGACAGGAAACATGGAGAAAATAATTGGTAATGAGACTCCTTGGGCATGATTTTATTTCAATATTTTTATAAATGATCAGGTAGAAATTAAATTCTTTTTTTTTTCATTTATTTATATTAGTTGGAGGCTAATTACTTTACAATATTGTAGTGGTTTTTGCCATACATTGATATGAATCAGCCATGGATTTACATGTGTTCCCCATCCTGATCCCCCCTCCCACCTCCCTCCCCATCCCATCCCTCTGGGTCATGCTAGTGCACCAGCCCTGAGCACTTGTCTCATTAAGTTCTTTAAATCCATGTACCACAACTCATTCATGTCCCCACCAATCTATCCACCCACCCACCCATCCACTCATTCATCCATTCACCCAGCCCCATCCTGCAGAGGCTGAGCAAGGCTCCGTGTCAGACACCATCAGCAACCAGCATGGAGACACGCAGGAGGACATTTCAGGCTGTGGTAAACTCAACTGTGGGAAGGCTTTGTAGGACACAGAGGCCAGAGCTGAGCTGAAATTGCGGCCCCAGAGACCAGTAACACAGGACATCTCCCAGCCTGTGACCGATGTAAGCATGAGGAAGAAACTCAAGAGGAGACCCTGTTGTGCAAGTCACGCTCACAGCTAGTCAGCTCACCCCGGGCCGGGGCAAGGGTCCTCTCATGTCAGAGACTCGCTCACTGAGTTATCGAAAGTGCTGCAGGGTTTCTTTAGAAGATTTCCTTAGCTAAAACCTTTTGCAAAGATGAAAGATGAGAGGCACTGTGATTCTAACTGGCGAGCTCACAAGAAGCCTGGCTTAACCAGGCCACTGGGGCAAAAACAAACCTTCCAGAAGCCTGGGGCAGGACTGAGGGGCCCCTTCCCGAGCTGGTGGTCGAGTTGTATCCCGGGCCTAAACCCTGAGGGGCCCTGGAGAGAGGAGGTGGTGAGTGTCCTGGGGACAGCCGTGCAGACAAGAGCTGCCAGTGAAGAGAGGCCGTGAGCCCTGTGAGGAAGGCCTTTCCAGTAGCCGTGGGCAGAAGGAACAGGTGCGTGCGGTCAGTTTGGCTCAGTCACGTCTCAAGCACATAGAGTGGCCAGTGTGCTGTCGAGAAGATGCTCCCTGACCTTTGAAGCAGCTGCTGTGGGGCAGCCATGCTCCCTGAGACCCTTGGACACCCCCAGCCGGGCAGGCAGGACCAGGGCCAGAGGGTCACCAGCCTGGCCTTTGATCAGCAAGGCCTTCCCACTGCGCACCTGGGAAATGGACGAACAAGGGTGAAACACAGAAATGAACTCGCAGGCTTTTTCACATGTGGATTTCATCTAATGTTTTACTGCACAATTAAAAGGATGTTTAATAAGGTTCCTGCCATAACCCAAGAAATGCAGAGTTACACAGGTTTCACAGAAAGTCGTATGAAGGAAGTATTCCGTAGTAACAGAACCGCTGTTGTGAGAGCTAGATTTTGCATATAAGTAGAAAAGCATGTAGTGTATATGCACACACACACACATATGTGTTCAGTCTCTTTAGCCATGTCCAACTCTGTGCAACCCCACGGACTGTAGCTCGCCAGGCTCCTCTGTCCATGGGATTCTCCAGGCAAGAATTGCCATTTCCTCCTCCAGAATACACACACACACACACACACACACGCACATGTGTGCACACACACACAATGGCATCCTACTCAGCCATGAAGAAGAGAATATTGCCACTTGCAGCACCATGGATGGACTAGGAGGGCATTGTGCTTAGTGAAATAAGTCAGAAAAAGACAAATGCTGTATGATCTCACTCATGTGTGGAATCTAAAAAATACAGCACACTAGTGAATATCGCAAAAAAGAATCATACTCACAGACCTAGAGAACAAGCTAGTGGTTACCAGTAAGGGGAGCAACACAGCGGTGGGAGTGACAGACACAGAGTATCAGGTGTGAGACAGATTTGAGGGTAGATTGTACAACACAAGGAGTACGATAACTAGTAACTGTAAATGGAAAGAAACTTTTAACATTGTATTAACAATTTTTAATTAAATAAATTTTTAAAAAAGATTAGGTTTTACTATGTAAGTCTTTGGCTCATAAACTACGCAATCAGTTTGAATTAAGATATTCCATTTAGAAGTCTGTCTTCTGAGGTTGGTTGCAATTAGGACCAATAATGCTCATCCCCACTTCATATTTTTAAATTATTTTTTAAGAAGTGCTGTGAACTGCCCAGAAGAAAAGTACTTCATGAAACCTGAATGATATAATTATTATCATCCACAGTTCCCTGGGCTGCACTGTGGAAGTAGGTCAACCTTCAGTCTGAAGTGGCTTCCTTGTGTGAGTAAAAATTTAAAACAACTGGAATGACTTTTGTCCTGATTAGCTCAGGCTGGCACACAAGAGGCCACAGACGGGCCCCGTCCCCAGCAGACGTGGTTTCCTACCGTCTAGAGCCTGGGGTCCAGCGGCTTCAGCCCTGGCGAGGACCCTCCCCAGGGTGGGGTGCGGTTTCTGCACTGCATCCTCACCTGTCAGGCAGAGAGGCACCTCGTGGTCTTCGTAGGTAGGGGCACTGGTCCTGTGGGAGCAGGACCTTACCCCTGTGGCCTCATGTAACCTCGGTCACCTCCTTACTCCTTGTATAGTCACACCGGAGCTCAGCCTGGACACGTGAATTTGGGAGCAGGTGGGGGCACAGCTCAGTCCAGAAGCAACTTTCAAAGCAGTGCCCCCAGATTGTGCGTGGGCTGGCCCTGGACTGAGAGCAGAAGGGGAGAGGGGCCTGGGACTGGATGGTGGCCCCTGAGAGGGCCCTGCTCCCCTGGCTTTTCTGAGACACGGCTCCACGTTCATCAGACTCGGTGTTTCAGCCACAGCCCCCGAGTGCCCGGCGGGGAGCACATCCATCTTGTTCAACCTTTCTTTGTCGCCACGTGACCAGCACCAGTTTAATATATCAGAGAGCTGTGGTCAGGGGTAGCGTTTCTGTGAGAGATGGAGAGTGACTATGCCTACGCCGGCGACACGAGGAAGGTGACCATCACTTACTCAGGGGTGCTGGCCAGGCACTGGGCCCCTCTGCTCGGGGACAGCACTGTGGCCAAGACAGGCGTCCGATTCGGGGAGACAGAAAGTAAAGCTCCAGAACAGCCCCGGAAACTCCAGTGGGAAAAACCCGACCTGGTTTTGCTTGTTCCTCGCACTGCTGATCCTCCTTGGAGCTGTGTTGCCAGGTGGCTGAGTTTGGGGAAGCGCACAGCTGGCCTTGCCGCTTGAGTTTGGGGAAGCGCACAGCTGGCCTTGCCGCTTGCACCCAGCCCGGCTCTCTCGTGCCTTTGTCTTGCGGATGTAACCAAGTGGGTGCTCATCTGCCCTTGTGCCCCGTGTCCAGCGGGGCGAGAACTCCCCTGGAAATGAGAACTGCCAACAGGACGAGGAGAGGGAGGCCAGTGGGTGATGTTTTTACTCCACGTTTTCATGTGAATGGAAAGGACCCATGCTCTTGAAAACCATTGTATGAGCTGATTGTCCTGCAACTGATACATGGTGTTGAATCCCTAGTCTAACCCATAAGCTTGAGTAATTTACTTTTTCCTTCATAATATCAGCTCTTCTTGATGGAGTATCAGCAGTTGCTCTGCGTGTTCACTGAAACCTGAACAAGCCCAGGGGCCCCTTTCTGCCTGCAGTGGGGCCCCAGCCCCACAGATGCCAAGCTCGGCGGGAAGCCGCAGCGGACGAAGTCGGGAAGGAAGGGCTGGGCTGACGCTGCTGCCCCGGGGGCCGCTGCAGCCCCTTCTCTCATCCCTGGGCTTGGGGCCATGTCTTACATAAGCTGGTTCTGTCCTCCGTCTGCTTCTGACTTCATCACTGACAGTGCCGGCCGTCCTGGGGGGCCCCCCTCTGTCCCCACATTGCAGCATCCTCTCTCCTGGACCAGAATCACAAGGGAAGTCGTGAGAGATGGGATTTTAGGGTGTGTTTTTCTCCCCAGTAAATGGAGCAGCTAATGCACTCCTAAAGACAAGTGGTGATTTTCTCCCTGTGAGGAGAGAGGGCTCCCGGAGGACGCCTGCACCACTCAGCCCATCCGGCGGCTTACTCCCACTTCTTTGAGGTCACGGGTGGAATCAGAGTAGGGGGAGAGTCCCTAATGGCCTTCCCCACGCAGAGGCCCTGCACCACTCAGCCCATCTGGGTGGCTTACTCCCACTTCTCTGAGGTCACGGGTGGAATCAGAGTTGGGGGAGAGTCCCTAATGGCCTTCCCCACACAGAGGCCCTTTTTATACTCGTGACATTGCAGCTGGAGGCAGGGGAAAGCTGCATGGGTAGCCGGTCAGCGTGTCCTTGAAGGGACTTAGACATGTCTGACAACTTCTGGTTGGTGTCTGGATCTGCCCACAGGGTCAGGGACTGTTGATCTACCGCGTCACACAGTCGCGGGCTGGAGCCCAATCCGCTGCAGCTGACTGTGTGGATGCTGCATGGGGCAGGCGAGATGGCGAGGCAACCACGGTGGAAGCCGGGACCCTTGTGTGCAGAGCTCTCTGGGCAGGATTGAACGGGGAGAAACCTGAGGCTCCCAGGCTTTCACTTATGAGGAAAGCAGTGAATGAGATGCTGAAAATAAGGATACGCTCACTGCCTAAACAATGAAATGCTTATAGTAAAAGCAGAGTGTCCAAGGACAAGGACTGCAGTGACAGCTGGTTAAAAACCAAGATTACTAACCCATTTTTCCTTTTAAAAGAAGAAAATAGAGTAAGAAAAGGACCGAGTAGTGATTGTTTTTCTTAATGCAATGAGGTAAATTGGATTTGTGTGATTATACTTAAAATTTCCTTTAATACTTCTCTGAGTTTCAGTAGAGATAATGAATCCAGTGTTATGAAAACTCAGGGGAAATAGTTTCCCAAAAGCTGAGTATACGTGCTGCATGGGCATTTGGGGCACTGGGCCTGCTCATTCGTGTTCTGTGTGTCACCGTTCTCATTAACGAACGTACAACACACAGCCTCTGACACCACGAGATTAAGCTGAAAAGGCACAGCTCTGAAGTCACATCTGATGCCGTCGTCTGTCATCCACGCAGAGGCAGATCATAAGGTAAAGATCAGATGTCCCTGCAGATGGAATAAGGCAAGTGAAAATCAGGAAACAGGGAAACACGGCAGGTGCCCCCCTAGGTGAGCCCAAGGTGGATGTTGTCCATCTGGCCTTGTCCTGGCAGCACTACAGGTGCAGGGGGAGGTCTGAGGGCACTGGGTTAAAGCTTCCAGGTCACGTCCCACACTGCCATCATGCTCCGAAACTGAATGACCCCAAGGGCAGCCGCCTTCTTTAAAAGACGAAAGTAGAGTCTGCCTCAAGGATTTGCGGAAATCGGAAATAGCCCACATGAAGTGTGAGGTCCCAGGGAATCTCAACGCCAGTAGCAGATGCTTCTGTGGTTTCATGGGGCCCCAGAACCTCTGGATCCTTACTGCTGCCCTGTTCGTTTTACACAAATCACATGTTTGTTTTGCATTTTCCTTAAAATAATAAGTCCTCATGACCTGTTGTTCAGTCACACAACTTCCGTCAGAACTGCGATGTGGTCAGAAGAATTGGTTAAATACTGGCTTAGTACTAGGCTAGTTCTGTTGGTACTTCCCTCATTTTCCCCTTTGGCAAACAGTGCCCACACAGGATCCCGCAAACAAGACCCACAGAAAGAAGGTGCAGTGTCCAGGACTAACCATGACCACAGCTCCTAGTGGCATGCGCTACACATGGCTTTCTGTATGGATGTCCCAAAGAGTGTTTTCATTCTTTTAAAGAAAGTGCATTCCTTTTCTTCACTGTTCTTCACAGTAGTTCAGTCACTCAGTCATGTCCAACTCTTTGTGACCCCATAGACTGCAGCATGCCAGGCCTCCCTGTCTATCACGAATTACCGGAGTTTACTCAAATTCATGTCCATTGAGTCAGTGATACCTCTGTCATCCCCTTCTCATCCTGCCTTCAGTCTTTCCTGGCATCAGGGTCTTTTCAAATGAGTCAGTTCTTTGTATCAGGCGGCCAAAGTATTGGAGTTTCAGCTTCAGTCCTTCCAATTCAGAACTGATTTCCTTTAGGATGGACTGGTTGGATCTCCTTGCTGTCAAAGGGACTCTCAAGAGTCTTCTCCAACACCACGGTTCAAAAGCATCAATTCTTCAGCACTCAACTTTCTTTATGGTCCAACTCTCACATCCTTACACATGCATGGACTGGAAAAACCATAACTTTAACTAGACGGACCTTTGTTGGCAAAGAAATGTCTCTGTTTTTAATATGATGTCTAGGTTGGTCATAACTTTTCCTCCAAGGAGTAAGCATCTTTTAATTTCATGGCTGCAGTCACCATCTGCAGTGATTTTGGAGCCCAGAAAAATAGTCTGTCACTGTTTCCACTGTTTCCCCATCTATTTGCCATGAAATGATGAAACCAGATGCCTTGATGTTAGTTTTCTGAATGTTGAATTTTAAGTCAGCTTTTCACTCTCCTCCTTCACTTTCTTCAAGAGGCTCTTTAGTTCTTCTTTGCTTTTTGCCGTAAGGGTGGTGTTATCTGCATATCTGAGGTTATTGCTATTTCTCCTGGAAATCTTGATTCCAGCTTGTGCTTCCTGCAGCCCAGTGTTTCTCATGATGTACTCTGCATATAAGTTAAATAAACAGGGTGACAATATACAGCCTTGACATACTCCTTTCCCTATTTGGAACCAATCTGTTGTTTCATGTCCAATTCTAACTGTTGCTTCCTGACCTGCATACAGATTTCTCAGGAGGCAGGTCAGGTGGTCTGGTATTCCCATCTCTTAAAGAATTTTCCATAGTTTGTTGTGATCCACACAGTCAAAGGCTTTGGCATAGTCAATAAAGCAGAAATAGACGTTTTTCTGGAACTCTGTTGTTTTTTTGATGATCCAACAGATGTTGGCAATTTGATATCTGCCTTTTCTGAATCCAGCTTGAACATCTGGAAGTTCACGGTTCATGTACTGTTGAAGCCTCACTTGGAGAATTTTGAGCATTAACTTGCAAGGGTGTGAAATGAGTGCAATTGTGCGGTAGTTTGAGCATTCTTTGGCATTACCTTTCTTTGGGATTGGAATGAAAACTGACTGTTTGCAGTCCTGTGGCCCCTCCTCAGTTTTCCAAATTTGCTGACATATTGGGTGCAGCACTTTCAAAGCATCATCTTTTAAGATTTGAAATAGCTCAACTGGAATTCCATCACTTCTGCTAGCTTTGTTCATAGTGATGCTTCCTAAGGCCCACTTGACTTCGCTTTCGAGGGTGTCTGGCTGTAGGTGAGTCAGACACCGTCATGGTTACATATCACCATCGTGGTTATATGGGGCATGAAGATCTTTTTTGTATAGTTCTTCTGTGTATTCTTGCCACCTCTTCTTAATATCTTCTGCTTCTGTTAAGTCCATACCATTTCTGTCCTTTATTGAGCCCATCTTTGCATGAAATGTTCCCTTGGTATCTCTAATTTTCTTGAAGAGATCTCTAGTCTTCCCATCCTATT